CTTACTGGAGTTGGGGAAGCATGAAATGAAAATCACATTAATATTGATCCAATTCTTTTACTTGCAAGTGTCCTTGATGTCCTTTCCTGCTGAGCAATAACTGTTGGTGTTAGGTAGCCATTCTCCTCTTTCTTAAATTTCAGCAAATTGTTGCAAACATAAGTGATCTGAATAAGTATTTAATACTTGGAATAATTTCTATAAACATTGAAGCTTAGTATATACCCAGATTGCAAGTGGTACATGTTTATTAGCCACTGAACCTTTTTCCTCCAGCTTCCTAGAGGATCCTTGCCTGGAGGTATGATATATATTACACATTAACTCCTTCAAACAAATGAAAGTCTATACAAGTTCCTCTGTGGTCTAATCACAATGATAACTATACTCTAATTTTAAGTAATATAATAATGTGCTAAAATAGATCATAAGTATTACTGAGTCAACTAAGAATCGTGTTTGTCAGATATTTGAACCTGGTATTTAGGGTTTTCATTTTATGGTAGTACGGGTAATATCTATTTTTGATTACTCAGTACATTCTCTGTCAACCAAAAGGAATTTACATGGGAATCATGATTAGATCTAATTCATTTAGAATAAAATGTCACAACTAAAAAAGGAGTGGGTTGATGGCTTACAGATTTTATATCCATATCTATTAAATTGGCTCAATAACTATTCAAATTTTTAGTTAACGTGTGCTTGCAACAGCAAGCAGAAATTGTCTGTTTAAAAAGAAACAGCCGATTTCATTTGTGGAAATGTTTCATATGAGAATTTTATATGGCTAAAATTAAACTTCTGATTCAACAGAAGATATAAAAATGGTGTAAGATGTTTGAAATGTGTGTTTTTCTTTTTACTCTAGTGCTTTTTTGTATATGTTTTTTATTGTAACGATACTGTACAGAGGGGTTAGTTACTGTTACATGAATAAGATAACGAGGATATTTCCTATAGATCATTGTTACCCCCTCCTTTGTTTTGCCCCTACCATCCCTTCCCTCCCTTCCCCAAGTTGTAAAGCTCAAATATCTTATTGTAACAGTGGGTCAACCTGTATACTTATTTCAGCATTTTTATTTCCCTTCCCCTCCCAAAATTAGAAAAATAGATATACAACATGCAGGGCACCAGAATCAAACAGAGTGAAAACGGGGGAGAACATACAAAAGAAAAATCACACAGCACATTACAAATACATCAAAAACAACAGCAAGAAAGATAAAACCACTTGTGTCCCTGTCTTGGGCCTTATTCATTATCATTAACTGGTTTTCTACCACTGGAATTTTTCTACTGAAATGCATCTTTTCTAAAAAAGAAAATTCTACAAAGGAAACGACTTTTTTCTTAATATTCAATAGAAAATAGATGTTTACATAATCATTTATGTTTCTTAAGGAATTGTTTATTCTTCAAAGTCAAAATACAAAGTTAAATTTAGAATTTAAATTTAATATGTACTTGATTGCAAATGGTTGTTACAGCAATGTTTCTATTAGATTTATCTCACAGCTTCACTAAGGTCAGCATAAAAGGATTTTGAATAATAGACTCCAGTATAAAAAAAATTCACAATATATAAAACCATGCTTTTATCCTTTTTAAAAATGTTCATAGTTGTAAACATCTCAGTAACAGATTGGTTCATATGAATAACTGAAAAAGATCATGTCACATAAATGAAATTAGTTGAAAGGTATATGTGTCCTAAAATTGTTTCCTTTTAGTGGAAGTTAAATAATATCATTTAGAATTACTAAAAGTGCTGGTCTATAAAAGTATTTGTTGTTCTTACTTGAGTTGTAATAAGAAAATGTAATGTTTATTTTAACAGTTTTCTAAATACTCATAGTATTAAAGCTTTTAACAGGAAGTATTTAGTTCTGAAAAATAATTGGACTACTTTGTTTTATTCTATTTTCATAATGGTAGATTTTGTCTAAGTGCATTGAACAAGCTAAAAATATTGTGAAATGGCATGTAACCAATAGAACTTATCCTTTGAAAAAGAATGCCATCTTGTGAAACTAATTTCTAGATGTTTTGAAATATTAGAATTTCCTGACCATTCCTTAGAAAGATGAAAAAGAAACTAATATTAAATGTGCTAGTTTTTATATGGGAAGCAGTTTTTCCTTCAAATACCCAAATTTTTAAACATATTATTACAATTACTATATACAAAATCAGAAACAGAATTATAAACGTTGATATTTATAACAACTTACAATCAATAAAATGCTTATAGGAAAAGAAAGTATTGAATGTAGCAGCTTACACTCCACTCTGTGTTAAAAGTACTTCATAGCACCTTTGCTACCACCATCCTCTGTCCTCAAGGACAATACGATACAATAAAGGAGACTAAGGTTCATATTTCATTTTAATGAATATAAATAGACTATTAGAAAGCATGTTGGAAAGTAATCTAACTCACCTGAAGGAAAGGAGACCGTTACTCAATACCTTAATTTGGTTAGGCGTTGTACTGTGACCTTCAACTCATGCTTCATCTTTTTGAGATTCTAATTGTCAAATAGCCACCTCTTCCCTCCCTTTACATAAATTGTGTGCAACACTATGATAAGCAACAAACCTTTAATTATACCTTTGGTCAGTTTTACTTGGTACTCATTATATTTTTTTGAGGGGTGTCCGTTCATGGGGCCTGAACTCTGAGCTTGGGCGCTGTCCCTCATCTCTTCAGCTCAAGGCTAGCGCTCTACCACTTGAGCCACAGCGCCACTTCCGGCTTTTTTCTTTTTGCTTATGTGGTGCTGAGGAATCGAACCCAGGGCCTCAGGCATGCAAGGCAAGCACTCTACCACTGAGCCACCTTCCCAGCCCCTAGAAAGTATTAAGCAGAAAAATACCATCCACTAGTTTGTGCGTTGTAATAACTATGCTTACAAAGTCTGGAGCGTGATAGTAGAAAGGCAGCTATTAAAACCTCTGGGCCAAAATGATAACTTGCTCTAGAGCAGTGGCTGCCACTAAGTCACTGGTTTGATCTAAAGAGGAGGAAGAACAGGAGCAAATAAGCTCAGGGAAATAGTTACTATTATTCATCCAAGTAAAGATACTAGAAATATGGCCATGAAAGCCTCCAGAGTAACATCTGGAATACTAATCATTGCTTTTGTCTCTGTTAAATGATGCAAACTCCGAGTTTATCTAGTTAGTACCTAACATACAGAGAATAAATATATAAAATAAAATTAGGATTAGGTTCAGAAGAATTCAGGGAATTTATTCCCAATCCTTCATTACATAACTGATAAAACCATCTATATGCCAATGAAAAGAGAATATACATGTACACCATTTTATTCTTCCCAATGAGACATTGATTTGTAATAATAGTATATTTGTCTCTGAAGTACTTGTCAAAACATGTATTTAACTATCTATCACTTTAATTTCTAAAATTGTGCATTAACTATGTTCTCCAAATGCTATTACCCAGAATGAGTTGGAATGACAGAATACCCTTCTCATCTATAGCCCTGCAGTAGTTTCAGATAATGGCTATATTCACTACCATGTGTTTTCACAGAAACTTCAGTGGCCTTTGAATAGGTTGCCTCGTGTTGTAAGGCACTTAGAAACTGATTTTTAAAATTCAGAGAAAGAGAATGAAGGAGAAGGAGGTAGACAGGGAGGGATGAAAGAAGGGAAGGAAGGAAAAAGGGAAGGTCAGCCCTGGTTTTACAAGTTTTTTAAATTTTTTTGCAAGTTTTTTTTTTTACTGTTTTTACTGTTTTATAGCACCTAGATGCACTTCCACAAAACCAGTTGAGTAAATAAATAGAGAATGATAGGCTCCTGGCATTCCTGTTTGACCATGAGGGAAATAACCCAAGAATACTGTGAATTGTAACCGCAGATAAATTTGGCCATAGATATGTCATAATATGGGAGACACAATTGCCTGTATAGCAACACCATACCATCACCTAGAGGTAAAATAGAACACTACCACAAGGACTGATTTCACTCAGATTTCCAGGAATGTATCTACCACAGTAAATAGAACAGGAAGGTATTTTCCTACTTATGTAGTTTTCGAAGTTTATAGTCTAACATCACATTGTTTTTCTTCACACTGAATTTCAACATCAAGTGATATGAAATAAGATATCTATGTGTAAGGACATGTGGATATGAATGTTTATGTATGTAATTATATAAATATAGTTTGTAAAGTTTTAAAGTAAATAAGAAATATATAAACTAAATACACACATACACATATGTACAATCTTAGATTCATTATCCTGGGCCAAAGAGGTGTTTAAATGTAAATAATAGAAATATTTGTTAAGTATGAGAAGAGAATCCATAAGGGATGCTAATACATTAGTTTTCAATTTTTACATTGATTAGTATGTTTATGACAGGTCAGAATTTACTTTATTTCCATTTTTCTGATGTTTTGATTTTGCTTTTTTATGTTACTTTATATGCCCAACTAAGGAAATCTCCCCCCCCCAAAAAAAAATCAGTATTTAGTTCATTTGTTACTAAAGAAAAGTGTGAAATAGATCTATAGCTCCCCAGTGACAACCACTTCTCCCTTAAATATAAATGCTTTCTTGTTTCATTCCGACCTACCTCTATTCTGAAAAGACAGCTGGTCAGTTAATTAGCTAATTCATAGAACCATTTAATTATGTAAAAATTATCTGACATCAGAAAACTGAGCTGGAAATGAGGTCCGTATTTTTTGTGGACAAACACTGAAAAGTCTTCAGGTATGGATTATAGCCGTCTTGCCAAAGTATGTCCCTTCCATAACCTGTTTACTCATCTGTGAAATGGCCTTTGATCTGTAATGATGTGAAATTATCTATAATATGACCAATGTCATAGAATACTAAAAAGATAAAAAACTTAAAAATGTTCTGTAATTATATCCAATTAGATCTAATACCCACTGAAAACAATAGCAATCACAATGACCTAAATTATTGTATTTCCATTGTAATTAGGAACAGAAGAAGATATAGTGAAGTCCAAGAAAGCATTCAGAAGTCAGGCAATAGTGAACCAGAACGCAGAGACAGAACTCATGCTGGAAGGAGATGATGATGCAGTCAGTCTTCTACAGGAGAAAGAAATTGACAATCTTGCAGGTAACTTTTAAAATACCTTTTTTTCTATTTGTTGTGATAAATACACAGAAATTAATCATTTTAATATATTAATGTATCCTAATGAGTAAATGTGTGACAGTAGTGTCATAATGCTCAATCGTGTTAATCGTGTTGATAGTGTATCACATATTGTAGTGTTGAAGGGGATTGTGATCTTTCCATTAAACGTGTATTTGACTGGCAATAAATGAGGAACACCAACTTTCTGTGCAAAAAAAGAGCCATGTTTTATATAGAAGAAATAACACTTAGAGTAAGCTGTCCTCATGTAATTGTCGGTGTCATTGGGAGGTTGAACAGGAGGATAGATCCCCCTTGACTTATTAACCTACTAAAAATCCATGAAGAATAGCTGCTTTGGCCAGGTCACCATGGAATTTGCTACTTCTCCCTCACTGCTCTTTTGTTCTCTAGCCTCATAATGCTAATTCCCCATTCCTAGTAGACATTCTCACCGTCCCACTCTCAGTTTCACCTAGTCCTGGTGCTGATATAAGGTCTAGTACAGCATCTATAATGACCAAATGGGGTATGGCTCAGATAACCGTTATTTTGGTTTCACACAAATTTGAGAATCTAATGAAGGCAGATGACTTCATAAAGATGCACAGATAACTCTGGCATAGTTTCAGAGTATTCAGTAATCCTGAGAAAATACCCTAGATCCTGGGATTAAAAAGTCTACTTTCATTCAACTCCGTGGTACATTTCTGTAACCTTGTCACGTGGAAGATGGAGGGAGAAGGATCATGAGTTCAAGGACAACTGAGTTACATGAGACAAATCCTGTTCCAAAAATACCAAGAACCAAACAAAACCCACTCTTCTGCTTTTGAATCTTAAAATGTGGCTGTCTTACTTCAGTTCTATATTTTGACCCATGTAGCATTGGAGTAGAAAGTAGTAATAGAGAAATGGTCTTACATTTTTTCATTCCCCAACAGGATGCATGAACTTTTTAGATAGAATGTTGCCTTCCTTCATTCAAATATTCTAGTACATATGTTTCATAAATGTACAATTTAGTTTAGGATGTCTTGTCCTTTGTCCCATTCAAGATGAATGAGTCAATTTAAATTTGCCTCATCTCCTTCTTGTAATGGCAGTGACACAGTCTAATAAATGCTAATAACTCGTTTATATTTCTCTCCTTCAGTAGCAGCTACATATCAATATTAAATTATGTTTATAAACAAAACTTTAAAAACACACTAAGTCCAAACATTTGAGAATAATGGAAGTACTCTTGAAATAAATTTATTTCAAAGTTTATTAATCTTGACTATCACAACAGTGACAATGTTAAACAAAATTCATATTAGAAAATAAAGATTTCCCTATTCCACACACATTCAATCTGCCATGTCCCCTCTAACCCATCCTTTACCTTATTTTCCTTTAAGCAGATCTGCCCCTTTCCATACTTTCCATACATGCCCCAACTCATACTTTAGTGAGATCTTTGTGTCTGAAACACATTATAAGCTGTCTTACAATGCTTATTCCTCATCAATCTGTAATGTTCATTTTTTAAAGAGCAGCTCAAAATGCTGCTTAGAACCTTTAGTGAACCAGGAAAAGCAGAGGAAGATGGCTATTCTATGAAAGGAAGCATTTGCGTAATGCACAAGAATACACAAATTTATTTTGTACATGCCAGATATACTTTAAATTAATCCCAACTGTTGTGAGAGAGGTATATCACATAAAATTCATTTTGAGAACTTAATTATAAACCAGAATTCTTTACTATTCATAATTTATCCTAAAAACCTGGTAACACTGCACTGCATAAAGAAAGCTTTGTTATCACAAAAGGACTGAATCTAAATTTAAGTCCAAGAGATCTTAAAAATTACATAAAATATTAATATAATCCCATATTTACTTGTCTAAGAAAGTTCTATAAAATAATGTTGCCTACTTCTATCTCACAGATGAAAATTACTGGTATTTACCTTCCTAATTTAATTTAATGATGTGAGTTGTAAATTATGTCTAAAAATATACCATCAAAAGTATCTAAGAAATATATATCAATATCAATCTGTCACATTAATATTAACAAGATATATTAGAAGCCGAACCAAGCAAAGTCTCTAGGCCCAGAGTTCAAGCCTCAGTACTGGCACCAAATGGGGTATGTGAGGAGGTGTGGGGAATTCTTCTTTCTCATGTTTACTTTCCTTTGGAGTGCTTTACTTTTAATAAAGTTTAAATGTTCACACAATGTTCTATAGCTTTAAATGTCAAACAATTTTCTGTTTCACTTTTAGTTCCCTTTCTTCCAAAGCTGTTCATCTCAAGAGGCAAGTTAAATGTGTATGATTACTAATTACTCAATTTAGAAGTATGTCAGTCAATTAAATTATTATATTAACAACACCTAACTCAGTTTATTCTAATTGATATTTTTACTTTGAAGTAGTTCAACAAAATGGATTAGCGCATATGATTCCATATGTGCTTAAATATTTAAATTTACTAATTATATTTTATTTAAAATATTGAGATTAATTACTATAACTATATACTAATCTAAAATTTCAGTTAACTTCAAACTTAACAATTTGTTTCTTGAAATAACTTTTAAGTAACTGGAATTTCAGATTAACTTAAATTTATGCAAATAGACTATAAAAATATTATTCACTTTACAAAATTGCATCATGCTGGTAAAATATTGGAGATATATTTTGCATAACAAAATTGGAATTGATTTAGATTCCTTTCTTGTGCTCTAAATGTTAATCATTTTATTAAGTAGGGAACATTGAGTTAATAAGGATGATAGTTATACCTATGCTTTATTATCATTACAATAATTTTAGTTTACATGTAAGCTGGCATTGCCAACAATTCATCTATTCATTTGTTTTCAAGTAACATAAAAGATTTTCCATAGGCTTAAACTAAAGTCCAGTCTTCTTTCTTCATGTGAAATATACTTTTAAATTTTTATCTTTAGTTTATACTATTTTTTTTTAAATTTTATTGTTAAGGTGATGTGCAGAGGGGTTACAGTTACATGTAGAAATGTAGTGAGTACATTTCTTGTCGAATCTGTTACTTGTTCCTTTTCATATTTCTGTTCTGTACTCTTCCCATGTCTTTGTAGCAGAAAACCCACCCATTGTAAGACCCATTTAAAACATTGTCAGCTGGGTATAATGGCTCAGGTCACCAGTAGGAGGATAACAGTCTGAGCCTGGACCCTGGCAGAAATGTGAGTTTCCCTCAAAAGAATGTAACCAAAAAAACTTTGTGGCATGTTTCAGTCAGAAGAGAGGCCCTGAGTTAAACACCTTTACAGCAAAAATAATAATAAACACTATAAAGTATTTGCTGGTCAATTTTCTAACCACAAACCCAGGCAGAAGGGGATGTATATGAGATTCCCATCTTCAAAATACCCAGCAAAAACCAAAGTATAGTTCCATTGAGCAAGCTAAGCAAGCACACTAAGAGAAAACAGGCTCTGAGTCCACCCTGTACTAAGAAAAAATAAAAAGACAAAAAAATAAGTAGAAGAAGAAAAGGAAAAGGTTCAACACCACCAATCAGTTTTAGAACATTTTATAATGCCAAAAATATACTGCATATCCTATTTCTCTACAGCCTAGACAACCACTAACCCTAATCTATTTTCTATATATATAAGTGTTTGTTCTGCTCTTTTTTTGGGGGGGTCCAGTCGTGGGGTCTGAACTCTGGGCCTGGGCGCTGTCCCTCAGCTCTTCAGCTCAAGGCTAGCACTCTACCACTTGAGCCATAGCGCCACTTCCGGCTTTTTTTTTCTGCTTATGTGGTGCTAAGGAATCAAACCCAGGGCCTCAAGCATGCAAGGCAAGCGCTCTACCACTGAGCCACCTTCCCAGCCCCTGTTCTGCACTTTTTATTTTTATTTATCTTCTATTTTTATTTTTTTGCTGGTCCTGGGGCTTGCTTGAACTCAGGGCCTGGGCATTGCTGAGCTTCTTTTGCTCAAGGCTAGAGCTTTTCCCCCTGAGCCACAGTGCTGCTTCTAGCTTTTTCTAAGTAGTTTATTGAAGATAATAGACATATGGGCTTTCCTGCCCAGATTAGCTTTGAACTGTGATCCTCAAATCTCAGCCTCCCAAGTAGCTATTATTACAGGCATGAGCCACTGACACCCAGCTATTTTGTACATTTAGTTTTATCAGTGGAATCATGTAAATATGGGTTTTGCACAATGTTGTCAAGGTACATTCATGTTGCCCTTTCTAAGGGGAATGGTCCATTGAATGTATATCCAACATTGAGATTACTCATTGGTTGGTAAACATTCAAATTACTTTCACTTTTTGACTGTTAAGAATAATGTTCCTATGAACATTAAGGTTTTATATAAATATCAGGGGGGTTTGTTTTTTACCATTTCTCTTGAGCATATGCCTAAGAAGGGCATTGATTGATAAAATGGTAATTATGTTTCAATTTTTCATGATTGACAGGGGTTTACATTCTTATCAACAAGAGTGTGAGGTTCTGATTTCTCTACTTCCTCCAAAATTCTGGTTATAAGACTTTAAAAAAATAACTAAACCATAACATTTTGATTGTATCATTCTTAACATACCACATGAAGTCACTTATTGAAAAGGTTTCCTTTTTTTTTTCTTTCTGTGCTTTTAGTGAGGTTCCTTAAAAGCAGCGACTTATATACTATAAACATTTGAACCATGAAGAAGCAGTTTAACATAATTATTTAAAAGACTCCAGTGAACCTTTGGTTAAAAGGTTAACAAAATAAATAGGAAAATTTAGATAATTATTTAATTATTCTAGAAATTAATGGCTTATTGAAATAAGTATTTGGGAGCTTAACTCATTATGAGATTATATGTTTCAAATTCATTGACTCACTCAAATAAATAACTGGGTCCATCACTTGACTTTTCTATAATAGAGGGACATTTAGTCAAGTTAGTCTTCATCTTATTCTTAAATCTGTTAAT